GGGCCTTCTTATACACAGATGTGCTGTTTGTTTTCCAATTCAGACAGTTGTCGATAGTCACACCCAAGTATTTGTACTCCTGCACCATCTCCACATCCCTCCCCAAAATGGAGAGGGGCTGTGGAGCAGTTCCCTTCCTCCTGAAGTCAATTACCATCTCTTTGGTCTTGTCCAGGTTAAGCAGCAAATGATTCTGTCCAGACCACTCCACAAACTCATCAACCAGCCTCCTGTAATTTGCGTTTGTGTGGACATTTCAAGAATAAAGATGTAAACAAAGTGCACTAACAGGAATTAATGCCATAGGTAGGCTTTTGTTTGAACCAAAAACTCCATCAGTGCTGGTATTTGTGAGATCTAGCTCCTGTGCCCGGTGCCACATCCCAAGCCAAGGTATGCCCTAAACTGTCTTTTTCACTAAAGTATGCAATCCATTACGTCCCTTGTATTGGTACTGTATGAACAAAAGTTGGTGTTTTCACTGAATGGGAGGAAAAAAACAAGTTCTGACTTCAGCAGTTTCCTTGTAAAGTGTTAGCACATAATTATGTAGCTTTTATAACCAGCACCAACAAACAGTTTTAGAAGAACATGAGAAAAGGAGTATGAATTGAACATATCAACACTACTACAATGAGCTCATGCTTTGGGGTATGCTATTCTTAGACTTGTATTTAGACATGAAATGTGAATTGGTCTGTTTGAAGTAGAAATGCTATGCAGTTATTGAAACGTGTGAACTTTTGACGCTGTATAAAAGTCGGATCCTTTGCACACTGTTACTCATATACTGTATATCTATTGCTTAGTATGAATCAAACACTGTTGGCTTGTATAACAGAATTTGGGTTTGTAGGAACTATTTCCCCAGTTTTGGCCTATAGAGTGTTTGGCAGAATGTAAAGTGAAACCCTGTGCTCAGGATGTTTGTGTCCTGTATATGTCTGTGTCAAAGGTTCTGGCTCTTAGACATGGCGCGCGCGTGTGTGTGTGTGTGTGTGTGTGTTTGGGTGGACCTTTATTGTTTTACTGTGTACTTGTATTTATATGTACATTTAGTTCATTCCTGACAGCTGACCCCACCCCTGTTACCCTGCATCCACTCTCCATCTAGCTGTCCCAGACTACTCTTCAGCCAGCCACAAGTACATGGAGGTGGTCATCTACTGTGTGGGCTTCTTTATCATTGCTGTCATGATTGCCATCACAGTTATCTTCAAGATTCGTAAGTCCTCAAAGAAGAGTGACTTTAATAGTCAGCTGGCCGTCCACAAGCTGGCCAAAAGCATCCCCCTGCGCAGACAGGTAACAGAAAGTAGATAGGGGGTTTGGAATATTTATACCTTCTTATTTTTTCTTTTTGACATTTCAGATTATCATCAAAGCTTTAGACTGTATTTGACTTATCTTACTCATCTGTACAAATATTGTCACAGCAGTTTATCTTGATGCTATTATAAAGCAAGCATGCATTCATAGACCTTTTAAAGTTTGTAGATCTTTAATGTCTTGTGCATCAGGTAAATAGTCAAGGAGTACTTGGACTCCATGGGCATGGTATGCCTGAGTGGTTTAGGTGGTTTTTAGATGGGCTTATTTAGAGAATTCAGCAACTTCTCTATAGTCTTTGTTTTCTTCTGGTCACTGTTGATTAAATAAGCTTCTCTACTGATGTCTGTTCCACTATGAGGGGAGTAATGTCAGTCTTCTTTACCTCAGGTGTCTGTGGATTCAAGCTCCTCCATCCACTCTGGAGTGATGCTGGTTCGTCCTCCCCGCCTCTCTTCCAGTGGCTCTCCAATGCTGTCAGGGGTGTCCGAGTATGAACTGCCCCAGGATCCCCGCTGGGAGTTTTCCCGGGACAGGTACATCCTGGACAAAACCTTTTAACAGGGCAACAGCAGACTAGATAGTAGAAAAGTGACCTTCTGAAAGGAAAGTTACTGGTCTGAAATTTTCAGTCTTTTGTGAACCAGCCCCAGTACAAAGTGTCTAAAAGCGACTGGTGACATGCTGTTGTGCATGAATAGTGTGAAAATAAATTTAGGTGTATAAATTTAGCTCAACTTAATCTGGATTTAAAATTCTAACTACTGTTCAATTTGAAGCTTAAAATCAAAGGCCAACCTTTTTTACTCACACAGATTTTAAGTTAAAAGTATGCACTATAAATAACTGTCTTCTCCCCTTTGTAGACTTGTTCTTGGGAAGCCGCTGGGTGAAGGTTGCTTTGGACAGGTGATGATGGGAGAGGCTCTGGGTCTCGACAAAGAGAAGCCAAACCGCGTTTCGAAGGTTGCTGTTAAAATGTTGAAGTGTAAGTTACAGTAGTTGCTCTTTTTAAAGTTTTCAGTTACATGGGCTTTACAGTAGATTTGGATTGTTGGGCACTAAAACTAATGAGATCTGTAGGAAGAAGTCAGAGAGGAAAGTAATAGATTTAACTGAAGCCTCTAGTCCAGGCTCCAGGAATGAGAGAATTTCTGACAGAAAAGCTGCAATGAACAGAACCCACAAGACATCTGCCATTGGATCCTAGCCACTGTGTAAATGGAGCAGAGTAAACATTTATGAGAACCCTTGACATCCCATAGAAAATGGTGTTCATTAAACTACACAGAGGAGTGAGGATGCAGCCTTTGTCTTATACTTTAAGTGCCTTTCGCCATGGAGCATTCTCCAAAACAAACACCAGCTTAACTCTGCAAGAACTGCCGTGTTGGTGTCTTGTGCAGAGTACTTACTGCGATGCGAGGCTTTTTTGGGCCTTTTTCACTGACAGAACATCGACCAATTACCCTAATGTGATTTATTTCCCTTCGCCTCCAGCTGACGCCACAGAGAAAGACTTGTCAGACCTGATTTCAGAGATGGAGATGATGAAGATCATTGGGAAACACAAGAACATCATTAATCTGCTGGGAGCCTGCACACAGGATGGTATGACCAGACAGACCTGCCCTGGCCTGTTGAGGCCCCCACACACCCTGTTGTCCCCCTGTTGTTGCTGTGAATCTTACTTTGAGAGATGTAGAGCAGCATAAATAAATGATTCTGACACCAGCTTGAAGCTTGCAGTTTGTCGAATTGAACAGAGCTGCTGCCATTTTTCTCTAATCGTGTCTGACCGACAACTAATGGCAATCTAACCTCTGATGACCCCGTGGTGAACATCACAGGGAAATAGAAAACTTTTTGTTCTTTCTATTTTAAAATGCATCTTGAGTTAGCATTTAACAGTTAATCTTGAAGTGTTTGTCTGCCAGTAAGAGCAGGTTCTGTACCTTTAGCTGCCTATAACCCTTGAATTAAAACAGGCTGGGTTGAAATCACATTTTTTTTCAAAATGAAAGATATCTATTCCTTGTCATCTTCACCCCTGCAACACATCAGGGCAAGAATTTCATTTCTCCAACAAGTATCTTCTGATGTGCAGTAAATGCACTTAGTGTTAGTTTCCCCTGTTAGCGTTCCCTTGGTGCTGCCATTATTACTGTTGACTGAAAAACTAACATCTCAGTTTGGAGTGTAACACGGCATTTTATAGTGAAATTATTATTTTTCTTATTGTTTCCAGGTCCTCTGTATGTGATAGTAGAATATGCATCCAAGGGTAACTTGCGGGAGTATTTGCGAGCTCGCCGGCCACCAGGGATGGAGTACTGTTACAACCCGGACCAGGTTCCCGTGGAGAACGTATCTATAAAAGACCTGGTGTCCTGTGCTTACCAAGTTGCCCGAGGCATGGAGTATTTGTCTTCCAAAAAGGTAGCCATTAAAATACAGCCTTTCTTATTAAATGTGTACAGAGTAAATCAGAGCAACACGTCCCTATGAAAAAATGTATGATTTAAGAAATATTTTTGAGAGATCAGGCTGTGATGATTCCTTGGATCAGTTCTAGTAATGTCTATTTTAATTTGTGCAGTGCATCCACAGAGATCTTGCCGCTCGCAATGTTTTGGTAACGGAGGACAACGTGATGAAAATAGCTGACTTTGGCCTGGCAAGAGATATCCACCACATTGATTACTATAAGAAGACCACCAATGTGAGCGCTCTTATCACTGGTTTATTCTCAAATATGAGACCATACTGTAGATGTCCATACCATTCGCATCTTTCCCACAGGGTCGTCTACCAGTCAAATGGATGGCTCCCGAGGCTCTGTTCGACCGTATATACACACACCAAAGTGATGTGTAAGTATCAGGTGTTGTTACTTTTCCACTTTAGTCTTGGGGAGGCGACAGTGGTGCGGTGGGTAGAGCAGTCGTTTCCCAACCAGAAGGTTGAAGGTTCGAATCTCGGTTTCTCCAGTCCATGTGTCAAAGTATCCTTGGGCAAGACACTGAATCCCCCCTGTTGTCCCCGATGGTTAGAGCCATCGGTTGAGTTGGCGCCACAGATGGCTGCCTTCGGTTCTGTACCGGAAACAAATTTCTTGTGTGTAACATACTTGGCCAATAAAGGTGATTATACGTAATGTGAGGAAGACTTTTTTTTGTTGTTGTGTAAGAAATCTACACACATTGGTCTATTTCTGTCTGCAGCTGGTCCTTTGGGGTGCTGCTCTGGGAGATCTTCACCTTGGGAGGGTCTCCGTATCCAGGTGTCCCAGTGGAAGAGCTGTTCAAGCTGCTCAAGGAAGGTCACCGAATGGACAAGCCCTCAACATGCACTCATGAACTGTAAGGGAACAAGACACACCTACTGTAAAACTAAAACGTTGCACGTTCCTCAGATTCTGTGACTGAACTTCTAATATCTCTTTTCCAGCATTTCTTTATCTAATAAAACAAATGGGACGGTTACTGACTGATGTGGCATAGTCCATATGTTTTTGAAAAGATCTTTGAAACTAGTCATAAAAATTACCAACATTCAGTTTGTATAAATGTATGTAGCCTGTGCACACTAATTCTGAACATATAAAAGGAACATTTTAATTCAAGGCAAAGCTCAGTCACTGTTGTCTCAAGCGTGACTTGAACAGTTGCTATTAATATTTACATTGCCTATGTTTTTGTGTATCAGAAGCATTCCAGGTGCTTAGCAACATAATAATGAGCCCTACCATTGTTTGTTGACGACCAATAAAATGAATTGCTCAAAGGTTGAGTGAGCTCTGAACGGAACATTCAGTTTTGTTTTTTCCACCATCACCCTCCACCTAGCTTTTTAGGAATGAATGCTCAGATATTATAGGCAAGATCATCTAGACTGCTTGATATGGAATCTCTTTAGGTACATGATGATGAGGGACTGCTGGCATGCTGTGCCTTCTCAGAGACCCACTTTCAAGCAGCTGGTTGAGGACCTGGATCGCTCCCTGACCATGACATCAAACCAGGTCAGGCCTTCTCTCTTTATCATACAAGGAAGAAGCAGAAATGACTGTTTTTGGAGTTGAAGTGATGGTTTTTCTTTTCTTCCTTGTCTCTATAGGAGTATTTGGAGCTCTCAGTGCCTATGGACCCATATTCCCCAAATACCCGCAGCTCGACCTGCTCCTCCGGCGAGGACTCTGTCTTTTCCCACGATGCTGGAGCTGAGGAGCCCTGCCTGCCAAAGTTCCCTCCCCACTCCACTGGTACAGCTATAAAGAAACGCTGATACCTCCTCTCCATTCAGACAAACATTGACACTTCCTCCACTCCCTGCCTCATGGGGTTGGACTCGTCCCCACATTCCCAGAGATGAAGCTACAAAAAAACACTGGTGCTCTGAGAGAAAGGAGCTTGGAGACACCTTGTAGAACTTGTTGGATCACATGGACTGAGGAGCACAGCCGTTTTCCTGTTCTTGGTGGTGACAATATTTATGGGACACTTTGTTTTAACAGGAGTGGCAGCTTATCACTGTCTGAAAAGAGCAGACTCTGCGCTCAACTTGGGACATTTCAGTGGTTCACGAGAGCGCAAAGGGCTGACTGTGATTCTGTCAGGCTTTTGGTTGTTTCCCCGCCCTCGGTCGTTTCATCAGTAGCAAAGGACAGCATTCTGCTTTTTAGACCAAATCAAGAGAAAACACTAAAGGATATCCATCACCTTGGTCCATGGCATCATTCACTCTGTTGTAAATACAGTTAGAAAATTATAAATATGAATATATATTTACTGTACTATTATTTTCTTACCATAATTGATTTTTCTTTTGTACAAAGATGCAGGGTTTTGTTTGATCAATTTTTGAGTACAGTCTGTAGTGACAGTGAAAACAAAATCTTAGTCTGAGGATTACATGGCCAGTTTTTTTTTGTTTTTTTTTGCTGTATCACAGCTATGATTTTTTTTTCCCTCTAAATTTACTGCGTAATTATCAATGGAAATATGTGTATTGGGTTTTCTCCAGCAGAAGAAATAGATTTATGAACATTTTTGGTGTGTTTGTGACTATGTATACACTGGGGGGAGTATTTTTATCTTGTCTCATTGAGAATCCTTCATTTATTTTAAGGATGGTCACAACTCGACATATTCCTGGTTGTACGTTGTGATTGTTGGAGCCCAAAGTAATTTGTATCTGTCAACATGCACTTCCATTGTGCATGTTCATGTGATGAATGTATGTTCTGTTGTAATTGCTTTAACAGGAGTTACATTTGCCGTCATATAACTTCTGATGAAGGGTTGCAAAACATGTATGTCATAAAAAGGATTACTTTAAATAAAATTCAATTGGAAAAACTGCCAAAGCTTTCAGTATTTGAACTCTGCTCCATAAATGGGACTATAAATATTCAGATTTTGTATGTATATTAGGTTTACAGAGATGGAACGTTGGCCACTTGAATCTCCCACCCATTTAACACAGGTTCCTGGTTGGATATGATAATGCACTGCTGACATCATAAGGAAGTTGGCAAGCACAAAGAGCTGCACCCCACAGTAAATGTGATTTATGATTTTAGCAAGTGATGGTTTTATGCTTCCATCCATCAGCCTCAGCAGCCTTGATGCCTGTCTAGTGTTGGCTTCCTGCCATTGGTTGATGTGTCACCTGGATTGCAGTCTCTACGCAACAAGGTAAAATTAGCCGTGCATCGCGACTGGCTCTTGACCCTTTCTAAAAGCCAGCTTTTACAGCTTGGGTCACTGCAGATTGCCTTCAGTGCATACTGTATTGCAGGAGAGCAGTTCATCTATGAATAGAGAACAGATCATTGTCACTTTTACAGTAACGCTTACATGAATGCAAGCTGCTGGTGTTTGCAAATTAACACTAGTATACTTTATGCTCAACAGTACGCATCATGGTGAACAGACAAAAGGTTACCCCTTTAAATTAGGATAATTCTCCATTGTTTACGTACTACACATTCTCATTTGTTTAAATGGTGTGCATGAAGAACAATTGTCCAACATGTGGGCTACCAAAACAGCATTACTGCATCTTCTGTGGGAATGCAGCAAACTTTTATTCTATTGCATTCCATTATCATTTGCTTGTCTGGGGTCGGGTCCCCTCTTTTAAAAATAGGAACCACCACCCTAATCTGCCAGTCCACAGGCACTGCCCCCATCCTCCATGCGACACTGAGAGGCATGTCAACCAAGACAGCCCAACTGTGTCTGGAGCCTTCAGCATGTCAGGGTGAATATCATCTATTCCTGGTACCTTGCCACTGAGGAGCTTTTTGACTACTTCAGTGACCTCTGCCAGAGATATGAGTGATGTTTTCCCAGAGTCTTCCACCTCTTCCTCCTCCTTGGGGGACATGTTAGACAGGTTCAGGGGTTCCTCAAAGAGCTCCTTCCACCGCCCAACAATCTCCCAGTTCTCCTTTCCTGCCAAACACAATCTGGGTCAAGCCCTGCTTTCCCTTTGAGTCACCAGATGGTTTGGTAGAACTTCCTTGAGGCTAACCAAAAGTTCTTCTCCATAACCTCACCAAACGTCTCCCACACCCAAGTTTTTGCGTCCGCAACCATCTGAGCTGCAGTTCTTTTGGCCTGCCAGTGCCCATCAGCTGTTCGCAAGACCCCTGAGTGAACCAAGCCCTGTAGGCCTCCTTCTTCAGCCTTCCTTCACCATTGGTGTCCACCAGCAGCCACCAGTGACCTTCTGGCCACAATTCAGAATAGCTGCCTCTACAATGGAGAATTTGAACATGGCCCATTCAGATTCCATGTCCCCAGCATACCCTGGGAAGTACGAGTAATTCTTCCAGAAGGCCTTCAGCCAGTCGTTCCCAGTGCTCCCTCACTACATGTTTGAGTTTGCCAGGTCTGTCCAGCAGCCTCCCCGTTTGAGTTCGCCAGGTCTGTCCAGCAGCCTCCCCCTCCAACTGATCCAGCTCACTACCAGGAGAGTGATCATTTGACAGCTCTGCTCCTGTCTTTACCCGAGTGTCCAAGACATGCAGCCTTAGATCCGATGATACAACAACAAAGTCAATCATCAATCTAAAGCCTAAAGTGTTCTGGTACCAAGTACACTTATGACCAACCCTATGCTCAAACGTGGTGTTTGTTATAAACAATCCATGAGTAGCACAGAAGTCCAATAACAAAGCACCATTGGAGTTCACTCCCTTCCAGGTTTCTCAATCATCAAATTGATTTTGTGAATTTTTAAGGTGTTCATTTAAATATTTCAGTTATTTATAACTGCATTTATAACAACTGAGCATGAATGCAGTCGCATCTTGAAGACTTAAATAACCAAAAATGAATATATCATCTGCAAATTCTCACTTTTTATGAGTCTCATTCAAGTTTCTTTGGTGGCCTGTTAGATCAGTTGGTATGATCTCATTTACCAGATATGGTCTGTTTTATTCCAGTTTCAGGGACAGATAACCTGCCCTTCAACTCTGCCACCCTGTGGAAGAGACACATTGTCGATCAGAGAACATTTGTGAGCTTCATGCAGTGGTTATGCAGGAGTGAAGGTCCTGGGGGGATGATGCTGGTGGTGATGATGCCTCTGGTGACTGTGTGACTATCTGCTTATTTGAGCTTCCAGGAAACAATGAATGGTGATATCATTATTTTGTTGTGCACCTCAGTGAAATGATTATGGCAAAGGAGAGTTTAGTGCCAGGGTACTGTCAATGCACATGAAGAGACATGGAGAGAGGCGTTACAGCAGAACACTTCTGGAGCTCATGAATATTATTCTGGACAGTGTCCATGTGCAAGGTTAAGGAAATGTGTCTCTTGTTCTGTCATTCCTTCTAATGCAGAATACATAAAAGCGAAACCTCAGACAGTTCAGACATTACATTAAGTGTGTGGGTAACCACAGCAGACAGGCTTGTCTCCGGTGCACCATAAATTGTTGATTTCAAAACAGAGGAGGAATTTTAATTTTCAGCTGTTTGTTCTCTTTGACGGATTCCCCACCCTTGTTAAACATTGTTAAAGTGATGAACAGCTGTCACTGAGGTTTTGGGTGTAGCTCAGTTTTGACAAATTTTGCAGTAGAAAAAAAATATCGTTTTTGTCAATAAATGCAACACACACAAAAGCAGCCAGAGCCTCAACTGTGCAGTTTTGATTGCTGATGTTTCTAAAGCCACAGAGGGCTCCACAGAACGCTCTGGGACCTGTCAGTATGACAGGTCCCCAGTGCCCTGTCTGCTCTATGGGACACATATGACAGAAGGGGTGAGGCTGGGGCATGGCCTGTCACTCACTGTGTGTCTCACTGTTGTCCTTGAGTCACTGCCACTTTTCTTCTTTTGTCCATATCACAGGAAACATAAGCAAATCAGTCTGTGGGAAAATGCACTCTCCACGCTTCAAGCTTTATGGTATTCCCACTTATCCATCTGAACATAATCCTATACCATGCTGTAAATGAATAACACCTTAGACAACCTGCAAATTAGTAGTGTCCAAATTTTCACCAAAAACAAAAACACAGAGGTCTTTGTTCACTCCTTTTTTCACAGTAGGCTTAATTAGAGTGTCATTACGCAGGGTGTGAAATGAAACTGTCTCATGTTCATTCATTTTTAAGGTAATTACAGTAAAGTTCAGTACAGGAAAGTAAGCATAGTGTAGCAGGCTGTAATATGTAGCATTACATATTAATGAGAGTCTAGAGCCATACTAGCAGCACTGTAAGGCTGTGCTTTGAGCTAAACATCAACATCAACATGCTAACATGCTGGTTGTATAATGTTTATACCATGTTCACATCCCAGTTAACCAAGAGTAGGCTATGCTAACATTTGTTAATATGCATTGAATACAAAGTAAAGCTAAGCCTAAATGGAATGTCTTTAGTTTTTCTGGCCATAAAAAGTATTTGGCAAATTTTGACCAGGTGGTGATTTTTACAGTTTATCCTGAGGATATCCTCAATGTGCACCGATAATTTCTGGCTATCCATTTGTCAGTTGTTAGGACAGTTCATTCAGCGCTACAAATGTCAATCTCAGAGTGGCTAAAGAAAAGTCAGAGGATTACTAAAGTCATTAGGACTCATCATCTGAGAACCATGAATCTCTGGACAATATTTCATTGAAATCTACCAAGTAGTTGTAGAGACCTCTCGGTTTGGACTGAAGTAGTGGCTAACAGAGCAACATTTTACCTTTTTGTGTTTGCAGCCATGCTATAGCTCCTGGGGGGCAACTGTGAACATACTGAACAGACTAAGCCTGTTTGTCCCTTGTACACACTGTTTATACTGGGTAATTTAAAAAGTGCTTACAGTGTCAATTATTTCTAGGACCCACAGATGTCACATTTTCCCTTGGAACTACATGTAAGTAGTTCTTTGGTACCCCATATGTGCAAAATATGCACCAGGTAATTTGCCAAATAAAGTCTGCGAAAGTGTAACAGACAAGACTGGAAATGAATCATTTCAGGACAAATGTTTCTGCACCGCCTCACAGCAAGATATAGACTGTATCTGGCATGATTTGTGGATAGACTATTTATGGTGTCTGGAGCCACAGGTGTGGTCAGGTAAATGAGATGGGTGAGGATGTTTGTTTGGTGTCAAACTAGCAGTGGGGTGGAGAGGGGGTGTCTATTGACAAGGCGTGTGTGTTGGCATCCATACAAAAACTGATGCCTACAGGCATAGCCCCTCCTCTTTCCCACCAGATCGACTTTCTTCAGCACAGGAATGAGACACAGACACCCCCTCCAGGCTGAGACATATAATCTGGGCCTGTCAGAGCCTTTATCAAACAGGATCAACTGGTGTGCTGGGCCTTTCTCCACCGTCCCCACAGGCAGCAGGATACCTACACATGCATTCCTTGGACACATCCCTGTCCCAAGAGACGTATCACCTGTCTTTTATGGCAGCTTGACGCGAGGGTGTGGAGAGGGCTAGTATACAGCTGCTCCAGTGCATTGTTCTTATGGAAAACTAAGATAGCAACATGGCCTTCGGTTTGAAGGATTTTCCTGATCTGCTGAGTCTCAAAATGTCAGAATGTTGATCAACAGAATGTCTCTGTCTTAGGAAAAAAAAATTGTTTTCTTCTGACTGCAGCCTGTTTTCACTGAAAGAGAGTGACAGTATAACTTGGTGACTCTCAGAGATTAGCTTAGCAGCCCTCCTCTTGAAGACATCGCAGCCCACTTTAGGGAGCCCTCCTTTGCTCAGTTGTCTCAGCTCGAAGGCCCTTCGCTGTGAAAGACCAGACAACAGAGGGTATGAATCAAAGCAGCAGCGTTGTTGTGCACAGGCCTCTAATCATATCACTTGCCCCTGAGCCATGCGTCTTTGTACTCTCTTTAATTGAATTGAGCCTAGGATGAGATTGGCTGACACACTGTACCTTCCAGCCACTGAGCTGCACTTAGAGTGAGGCGGGGAATAAGAGCAATTTGGGATGGTTGTTTTCTTGGCACAGTTTGATATATAATCCTTAGGGTGTCCTACAGCCTTCGCACTGCAGTTTAATTTCACAGGATTCACTGCTGTTAATAGACTTGTCTGAAGGCCTCAGTGTTTGTTTTCAAATATGTAATAATTGTAAATTTTATTGTCGCAACCCTGCGATTGCGTATTAAAGGCAGACTCATCAAACATGACAGATTTGCACCTAGTAAGGCTCACCGAGGCAAACATTTATGTTACTGAAGTTCTCGGTCACTGTGAAAACATTATTTGCTCCTGGACAACTGAATTACGGGTGTTTAGCTGCTAGTGGCCTCAAAAAGCTACATGAAGGTGAAGTTAATGATTTAATCCCTCAGAATTACCTGTTTGTTTGTGCCCTTGTCTACCTCTGTCAATTACTTTGTGTAAAGACTTGCTGAGAGGGTGTAGACATATTGCTTTCATGTGAGCAACAGTACAGTATCTATAGAAGAGAAACACCATAACATGTGCCTGCATGTCTGAATGAAGCCTCAGCACCTCAGTGAGGTCCATATGAAACACATCGCCTGGAGCAGCTGGGATTTTCCCTGAAAAGAACTGAGGTGAAACATATTTCATCTTTCTTCCGATTTTGTTCTTCCTGCTGCCTGTGCAGTCAGGAGGCCAAACTGTGAAAATCACAGAAATGGAAACAGACAGACAGAGAGATCTTTTCAGGCTCCTTGGTCTATAATCAGGATAGGATGTGGGTTTGAAACTGAAGCGAACAAAGTGAGCGTTAAACATGGCTGTAACTAAAGTTCTCCAAAAACCACTGAGACAGAGTTGGCCAACGGAGAGGTGAAAAGCTCTCAGTTTAGAATACATACGTGCCAAACTGCAGAGGATGAGACGGCGAGAGTCTGGCACATGAGACAGGAACGCTTTGTGACATTTGAAAAATCATTTTTGCCAAGTGCTCTGTCTGCTGTTCAGCTGTCAGAGTGAGCACTAACTTGGCTTCTTTACATGAAAAATTTACATGAAACATAGCAGCTCAAGAGGCACAGCTGTTAATACTATGTAGTACTACTTGACTGAAAAGTGTGTCGGGGCTACACTAATTTAAAAAACACACTGAATCCTCATTGCTGATACATATGACAACCTAGTGTGTTTCGCTGGAGAGGCCTTTGACTGCTGTTGCCTTGTTAACATAATTCGTATTCTGTCAAACAAATGGAAATTGGGGTTAATTGAATGTAAGTAAAAAAAAAGAAAAAAAAAAAGAAAAGAAACATTTCCTCAGTAAAAGTGGCTATAAGCTGTTCCAAACAATTTTAAGTGCTTTGTTTGGCCTCAGTTGAATTTGGATATTTATTTGCCTTAAAGCAACTACAGTTTATAGTTTTATAATAACATTGTATAAAGGAAGATGTGAAAATAATGTGACATGGTCTCCTAAGCTTTATGTAGCTCTATAATGTTTGTGAGTTTCATCTCATTTCTTTAGGTTTTCACTCATGGTGTCATTTTTGACCGCATGCAGTTATATTCAATCTAAAGGAGCTAAAAGACAGTGAAAATTATTGTCTTGCTGAAACACAGTGTTGCTCCATAAATGTTGGATGTGAGTAGCAGCTGAGTTTAGCATATAAACTTCAAAGGTGATAATGTGTCAATAACAATAAACTTGTTTTTCAATGTCTTCACATGACCAAGAGAAAAATGATTGCAGGTTGAGGAGTTTATATAAATTTAAATTCTATCATTTAAAAATGATAGGTCTACAATAAATAGCTAGGCCCAGCAGCTTAACTTAGCTCGAAGACCGGAAAGTGGTTGTTATCCTGGTTGTGCCCAAGCTAATTAATACATTTAACAGTTTCTGTACCAGTACAACAAACAACCTACAAATTGTTAAATTTGGTAAGTTTTTAGAGGTGCTGATAGACTGGCTGTTTAAAGTCTTTGTGCTAAGTTAATCTAACCAGCTGCTGGCTGTAGCATCATATTTAATGGACACATTTGAGATCGGTATCAATGTTCTCGGTAAATAAAAGTATTTTCCAGAATGTTAAACCACTGTTTTAATGCCTCAATCATTCAAAATGGGAAGTAGTTGTTTCTGAGTACGAAGTCACGCAGCACATTTTCCAAAACAGTATTTTAGACTAAAACCTGTTATTTAGTCAGCATTCTTGTATAGAAAGAACTTTGTGGACTAATCTCAGCAGCTTTCCAGATTCCCCTGCTTCACACAGGACATGTTACAGTTTCCAGCTGCTGTTTCATGCTCCCTTCTCTATGCCATGCAATTATACCGGGTCCCACCGGAGGTTTAGATTGGGTGGAGCTCATCAGAGAGTAAGCTCAGGCATTAACTGCTTCTCACTGCGCATGACATAGAGGCCTACATGAATCCACAAATACAGTTAGAAAAAACAAAGCTAAGAAGCACGCAAATACCCTGCATGAAAGCACAAAAGATAATAAAGAAATAAAAATAGAACAGGAAATGGCATTCCTTAACTGGATAAGGCACAAAGAGACACCACCCACAGCCCAACTGATGTGCTACAGCGAGGCTTCACAGATTTCATAGACAGACGACATCTGACAGGTTTTAAAGAAGCCCCTGAAGATATTATGGGCTTTTCTTTCTTTTATCAAGATAATGCTTTTTCTTTCATTTCATAGCTTACAGCAAGCATACATCAGAGGACATGGAGGGCTATTACTGAAAGAAAGAAAGAAAGAACTTACCAAATAGAGTAAGTCTCTATATTGATCAATGTATTGTCAGCAGCCTACAGTTATAATTTGATCTAACTATGGAACAACAAATCATTTAGGCTAAAAAAAACAGCTTTTGAAAACCACATAGCTCTGATGCCTGTCTGGCTTGGGAATAACGTGCATACAAACAGTCTGGACAAGGTCTCTGCTGACTGTGACAACAGAGTCCTTGTGCAGGGCAGCTGGTAATGCCTGGCACTGAAGCTGCAGCTCTGCACTGGACATTCAGCCACTTTGTGCACAGCCAACTACCCCAAACTGACCTTATTTTATGGCCAATAGCGCCCCCTGGTGTCATCAGTCAGCCCTTCGAGTTACCAGGCAGAATTGTTTTCAGATGTCTGATCTTGTGTTTGTTGCTTCTCTGTTGTTAATGCATTAGAAACAAATAAACGTAACTGGAATATAATTATAAATATAACTTAGTTAGCAAAGGTCATGTTCAAATCGGCCTATAACTGACTGCCTTACAGATTACAGATGGTGCTCCTCATGCCGTTAAAGGATATGCAACAATAACAATGTCACATGCAACAGCTATACTTGCAGACCCTAATTTAGAATGACATTATATCCTTATATTATGCATACATAAAATTATTACATACATCAGATACAGCATGAGGAAAGAAATCAATAGCCTACTGCTAAAATATGACTACTATAATTATCAGTATTTTCATAATGATAAAGCCTGAAAGGCCAGAATTGTTTTACTTTATCTGACATTTCTTTCAACAGAATCATAGTTCATAATAATAATTATAATCACATGTAAATCTGTTCACATTTTGGACCAGATATTAGGCATCCTGAAGCTGTCATACTGGGCTCTGGCAGCTTGAGATGGGAGGTTTACACTATTTGCTAACAAAAATTGCCAAGTGATTGCCAAGTTAATAAAGAAAACAATGAGTAGATTAAGCGATGATGGTTTGATTTGATTTGATTTGATTTATTCTTTCAAGCATATACAACAGTTGATATAACAACACATATTTTTACACACAATCCATTATCAATTTGCTTATACCTAGTACATGCTTGAATGGAGCAGGAAGAAGTCAGACTTATCCAGTCCTACCCTATGACATCATCTTACCATCATTGGTTTGCAAGCAATAAATGATTCACTTCTACCCACACACATATTATACTAAAAAAGAATATAACAGTGTTAACATTGTTACATCACACAAGTGATATACTAAAGAATGGTTACGAAATATACACCACACCCACAATAGTCCATGTAATTAATCATTAAGCCTGTTCTTGCATATATCTTGATTGACACATACCTTTTATATTTACGTTTAAACTCATCAATTCTATTACTATTTTTTATGTCCACACTTAAATTATTCCATAGTTTTACCCCACTTATGGAAATACAGGATCTTTTTTTGGTTGTACGTATAGCATGAATTTTTAAATTTAACTGACCCCTTAAATTGTATCCCCCTTCCCTTTCATTAATGGTAACTGTTAACTGCTAGCCTAGCTGTAGCCTAATGTTGATGAAATACTCATTTAAAACTGCAGGATTTTTTTTTTTTGGTATAACAGTCATGTATATAGTGCAACATTAGGTACTTCACCACTAAGTAATGTTTAGTCTCCTCCTTCTTGAATGAATTGTGTGTACCTTCAAGCATTCAGAAAATCTCAGCACTGATTTCTGTTTAGAAACTGCCAGAATACCCCCCCTCCACACACACACACACACACACACACACACACACACACACACACACACACACCACACTTTCTCTGAATCCTCGATGCCTCCTTGACTGCAGCAGCTTGACATGAGTTCACATCTGAAAAGACGTCCACACAGCATGCAGACTCCTGGCAGCATAATCACTGATGTGATCCTGTACCACTCTCTCTCCGCATCCCATCGCTCCCTGCTGCTGTTGTTTTCAGATTTTCTGCATGTGCCGTTGTTAATAATTCATTGTCAGCGATGCTGCCTACGGCTCCAAGTGCAGAGAAAGGACTCACGCTCATCATTTTTGCAGTGTGCATGCTGGCAGCAGCTCTTTACAGAGACAGAGACAAACTGCACAGATCCAGGGAAGCTGCAGAGCACACACACCCACCGAGGATACACAAAACTACCCTCGCTCACTCCCCCTCCTTCCTCCCTTCTTTTCTCTCTCTCCTATCCCCTAGCTCTCTCTCTCACCTCTGCACTCAGCATTATCAGCACTGCTACGGCTGTAGACAGGTTGACTGTCAATTCACCTGCCACTGAGGACAAACTTCAAGAAGCCCACTCACATGGCTTCCCATTCCTCCAGCCAGAGGATGCTGGAGCTTGGACTGAGGTGGATGATCTGCTTGTTGATTCTGTGTCTGAGTCTCTCCATGCCGGCAGAATCAAATGCCGGGAGAGCCCCCAAGATCCCCCGCTGTCCTGCGACCTGCTCCTGCACCAAAGACAGCGCTTTCTGTGTGGATACCAAGGCTATCCCCAAGAGCTTCCCCCCTGGAATCATCTCTCTGTGAGTCCAAAATCCACATGTTTGCCTTTCACTCACCGAAAACATCTTTTCATAACCCACAGGAAATCTCAGCAGCATGCAGGCTGGTACAGATCACTACATCACTGATGTCACTTTCCATTATGTAATGACGCATAAAATCGTTGCCTGTCATAAAAGGAATATAGATATGTTTCTTACTGATGCTTTGTTTTCTTCACACAGTCTGTCTTTGCATTGGTAATGAAAACTGTATATGAGACAGCTTTGCATACAAATAATAATACCATCCCTTTGTCGTGCCATGCTGAACTTAGTTGAGAGAGCACAGCAGTGAAATCCTGTCGAGCTCCAGGGAGGAACACTAACAATAGATTCCCCACCTTGCTACAAGAGATCTGTTTCTCCTCTGACAGATTTATTCTTGAAGAGATTTGCTCAATAAATGGAACACATATAATGTCATGGAAAGCTTAGTGTTTGATGGAAGAAGGCTGTGTTTTGTTGAGATGGTTACAAGGTTCCCTTACATGTGAGATTAGTCATCTGTGGACTGACTGTTGAGTTTATACATTCAAGAGAATTCAGCAGCACAGGCTGGTGGAGGTGCCCTCGTTTTACACTAGAGAAGAAGTAAAGAAGTGAAAAAGGAAGTCATGTGTCCCAGTTTTGAAAAGATTTTGCCCTTTTTTGAAATTTAAACTGCAAGGAAAACAAAAGTATCCTCCAAAAATTGTATGATGACACATTTCTGCGCGTTGTGCCCCCGTAACCTGCATTCTCACATCAAGAAGACACATTTAACAATAGGTGTTGTTTTTTGTCCAAACAGGACGATGGTGAACGCAGCCTTTACTACGATCCCAGAGGGAGCATTCTCCCACCTTCACCTGCTGCAGTTTCTGTGAGTACTCTGACCCACAGCAGACCAGTATTACAACAACATCCTAAACTTGTAAGTTGTATCTCTCTCCCTTGTTTTCAAACTGTCACAACACTGGATATCACATACACGCAGATACCTTTTGTTGTGCAGTGACAATGAAATGCCTTCAGACACTAGAAATGAATGGTTTTTGAAAACAGTGGTGGTGACATAGCAGTAATAAGAGTAAAGTGGCTCTGTATCAGTGCCAATGACTGACTCCCTTCAGTTCTGCAGTGCCAGACAAAAGGCTGTTTATCTCCTCAGATGCAATCATGAGTGTGTGTCTCTCTCTCTGTTTGTGCGTAGGCCTGTGTGTGTCGGTGTAAATTTTGAGAACGTTCAGAACTTTGGCCCTACAGAATCTTTTATGTTGTTGAGACTACAAATATTTTTAGGACTGCAGCTTGTCTGTTTCTTTAAATGTGCCCAGTGACAAATGAAATTTTATTTTTAGATACTGAAAGTAACAGTTTATTACTGAGATATTTCCCTCTAGCTTTCTTGGTCAAGTGGTGCAGTGGATAGAGTGGTTGTCTCCCAACTGGAAGGTTAGAGGTTTGAATCATGGAGCCTGCAGTCCACATGTTGAAGTGTCTTTGGGCAAGATACTGAACCCCAAGTTGCCCCCAGTGGTTAGAGCCATCGGTGTGAGTTGGCACTGCAGCTGGCTCCCTTGGTTCTGTACCGGAAACAAATTCCTTGTGTGTATAACATACTTGGCCAAATAAAGTGATTATCCTTATCCTTATACTAATGCCTCCTTTCTAATCCACAGGCTCTTAAACTCCAACACATTCACCACAATTGCTAATGATGCCTTTGCTGGTCTGTCTCACCTGCAGTACCTGTGAGTGTCCCACTCAGTGCTCCTTAATGCAAGATGCTACTATTTTAAAATTATTTTGACTGAATCTAGTCTTCAAAGCAGTGAACTGATTTGTTGTGGTACATTGATTTTTAATTTTTAACTCTTAAATTGTTTTGCATTTAATTTATGCTATAATTGTATCAAAGTACATTACATAGGTTTGCTTTAAAGTAAGGTTTTGATCTATTTACAATATATTTCTCTGTGAGGTGAATAACATCAATAAATTAAGGCTGCAGTTTTTGCCAGGTTGGCAAAGAATGCCTAAAGTAAAATTGAAAATAAATCCTTGTGTGACAGCAAACACAGTGATATCCAGCTTCTGCAGTTTGATCAAGCTGAATATGTTATTTTATGTACTGATGGACTTGGAGGGCTTCCAGTGTTGGGAATGCCTCAGCTGTTGGCTGTGTGTGGTCTTGGCTGCAGCCCTGTCCTCTGGCCTCAGTGCACCACACAGCCACCAACTACAAGCTGTGAATGCTAATAAAGTCATATTTTCATATCCAGCTACCTCACTAGAGTCTGCACATGCAATATGTCCTCAACTATCAACATGCAGAACGAAGACTGTTTCATTTTTATCACATTGATCACAGTTATGAAATGAGATTAATCTTTTTGTTTGTTTGCTTTTATTTTGGTTTTGCTTCATTTAGCTGGCCATTACCTTCATTGTAAATCCACCAGAAACAGATTTTTACTACTGAAATAATGGCTGTGTACAATCACACTCCTAATGTACCTTGCACAAAAGACAGAAGTTCATTTTCCATACAAGGATGTGTCTATAATACTGGCTGGATTTCAGAGTTTGTCATCATTGTGAGTGGTTTGTTCTTTTCTCAGGTTCATTGAGAATAATGACATCCAGGGTCTCTCAAAGTATACCTTCAGAGGACTCAAGTCCCTGACTCACCTGTGAGTATTTTGTTGAGGTGAAGACAGGGGTTGTTTTTTTTTGACAAATACATACTACTATACCATACAAGCAAAACATAATGAGAACTTCCTCCTGGATTTTTTTCAGGTCTCTGTCAAACAACAACCTACAGCAGCTGCCAAGAGATCTCTTCAAACATCTAGACATCCTCACAGATTTGTAAGCAGGCCTTCACTTAAATCAAAACAGTGCCTTGACATCCTGAGGGATTCGACCCTGCAATCTGTCACTACAGAAACCCTCTCTGGTGGTTTGCTGAACGTTTAGAGGTCAACCACACTTGTATGCAAAACTGTCAGCTATGTGGTTTGATTCTCAATCAAACCATACACTTCACTTTTTCAGTTTTTTTCTTATATCGTTTTCACTCCGTACTCAGAAGGAAGGTTTGGAAATTTAATGTTGGAGCATTTAAGAGGTTTAGACTGATGTGTTTTTTCTGTTCCCTACCTGCTGCTCAGAGATCTGCGTGGCAACTCTTTCCGCTGTGACTGTAAAATCAAATGGCTGGTAGACTGGATGGAGAAGACCAACACTTCTGTTCCTGCCATCTACTGTGCGAGTCCCTTTGAATTCCAGGGACATAGGATCCACGATCTTGCACCACGAGACTTCAACTGCATTAGTGCAGGTTTCAGCTTAATCCTTATTTCTTTGCGGAACTCGATATCATGCCATACCATTTTGGCTTCTTAGCACTGTTGTTTTGTTTGTCTTCTTACAGATTTTGCTGTTTATGAAACCTTCCCTTTCACCTCTGTGTCAGTGGAGTCCTATGAATTCAGTGGAGATCAGTTTGTTGCTTTTGCTCAGCCTGATTCAGGGTTCTGCACCCTGTATGTATGGGATCATGTGGAGATGGTCTTCAGGAGGTTTCACAACATTACCTGTAAGTTGCAATCTATTAAAGCATAAGAATGGTACAGTAAATTAAATCCTAAATATTAAATCCTGATATTTTGGCTTCTGTCTTTGTCTCTTGCAGCTCGTTCCGCTGTCTACTGCAAACCAGTGGTGATAAACAACACACTTTACATGGTTGTAGCTCAACTTTTTGGTGGATCTCATATCTACAAGTGAGACTTATAACTGTATTTTCCATTCAGCTAGTGTCTTGTTGAAAAAAACCACATGGCTTTTAAGAAAGAGTTTGATATTTTGGGAAATACAGTTGCTAGCTTTTCAGATAAGAGTTAGATAAGAAGACTGACAACTCCTGTGTCTGTGCAATAAATGTGTAGCTGGAACTAGCAAGCAATTACTTTAGTTTAACATAAAAACTGGAAATGGGGCAGCAGCTAGCTTGACTGACAAGATTCACCTACTAGCACCTCAAAACTCATTAATTAACATGTTGTATCTTATTAGGTTCATCCATATAAAAACTGAAGTCTATGCTTGTGTACAAGGCATTATGTGAGGGACTACTATTTGGCTAGGAGCAGTTACAAAGCAGCCAGCAGAAAATAAACCCACACTTCCAGAAACTGAGAAAACTTTATTAGGAAACGTTTTAGAAATACTATTACAACATTTTTGTTATCACAGGTGGGAAGAGGGCCCACAGCGCTTTGTAAAGATCCAAGACATAGACACTACTCGAGTGAGGAAGCCCAACTTTGTGGAGACCTTCCAGCTGGATGGGGAGTGGTACTTTGTAGTAGCAGATAGTTCCAAGGCTGGCTCCACCAGCATTTATCGCTGGAACAGCAATGGTTTCTACTCCCACCAGTCTCTTCACCCTTGGCATCGGGACACCCATGTTGAGTTCGTTGATGTTGGGGGAAAGCCTCATCTCATCCTCTCCAGCGCCTCTCAACCCCCAGTGGTTTACCAGTGGAACCGAAACCAGAGGCAGTTTGCTTTCTACTCCCAAATCACAGAGCTGGCTGATGTGCAGATGGTTAAGCATTTTTGGGTGCGGAAAGTTCTTTACCTTTGCCTCACACGCTTCATTGGGGACTCCAAGATTCTTCGCTGGGAAGGGCAGCGTTTTGTAGAGATCCAAACTCTTCCCTCTCGGGGCTCAATGGTAGTGTATCCTTTCACAGTGGGCCTCCGCCAGTACCTCATTCTTGGAAGTGATTTCTCATTCTCCAGAGTTTACTTGTGGGATGACCTCACTCAACGCTTTCAGCCCTTCCAAGAGCTCAACATGAGAGCCCCACGGGCTTTTAGCTTGGTATCTGTCGACAACAAAGATATTCTGCTGGCTGCCAACTTCAAAGGTAACACCCTGGCCTACCAGCACCTGGTGGTGGATCTCAGTGCCAAGTAGACGTGTCAAAGGCGGGGGGTGTCTCTGAGCAAATACGAACATGTGCCAAATGAATAAAAGACTGCAAAATGTTTAAGCCATGTAACTAAGGGTCTCCTGTTTCACCTGATATTTTAAGCAAGGCAACTAATTAAATGGTTAATCCATTTTTATGCACTTTCTCAATGATGTGATAATATACAGCATCGGTAACATGCCAAGTGTCATGTCAGTGTTACATCACTGCTTCTGTTCTGTCAACCACATTTCTCAGCCAATTCAAATACTGTACTAACAGTGACGTGCATGTGGATGTACTGAATTATTCACTGGATGAGACGGGATATTATAAAGTTTTATAAGTTACAGTGTGGTTTAACTAAATATCCTTTTGCATGACACTGTACAAATAATATAACTATGTCAAATGAGCAATACTTACCATTGCAATACTTTAAATCCTTGATTATCTTTTGTTTTCTTTACCTTATATTTTGTATTGTTATTTTTGATTATTGTTGTTTGTGTATTATATTGTATATATATGAGATACCCTTGAATCTGTTCTGCAATAATACCATGGGATCACAGCCGGCCAGAGACATGAGCAAACTAAATGATGGGCCCCAAAACTGATTTTGTTATAGTATATATAGCCCATTCCCCACCCCGACAGTCAGTATTTTTTGGAGGGATGGCTTAGATTAGAGAATGTACACTATATTACAAAGTAATATAATGTTACAATGTAATGCACACTTGCAAACTGTATTTATTTGTTGTTGTATACATTTGTACATGAAATGGCGACTTGGCAGATGGTATAATTAAATCATGCTTATGGCCCTGAAGACGTCCTGTGTCAGTTCCTGTGGTTACAATTGCTTTTCAAAAACCAGCTCCTGGAGTCAATATTAGTTTCTTTTGTACGTCAGCACAAGTGATCGATCACTCGCTCAGATTTTGCATTTGAATCACTGTCGATGGTGTATGATGCCCGTGTAGCCTACACGGTCAGGAGCCAAAATAAAAGGCAAAATGCGCACAAATTAGTCTACATGAAGCATGGGAGTATGGTAAAAACTCAATCTGCGCAAGATGAGTGCAAACATGATACTAATGAGCAGAATTCAGTGTGCGCTTGCTTTGTCTTTCGCGGTGTCTGCGTGGGTGGAGCTAACGTATTTAAACAGTGGGACAGATATCACCGCTTTCCCACACGGTTCTGAATACAAAAACAGGCGCAAATATATGTTGTTGATACATGAGATGTTAGCTCAGATTTTCGATGCATCATGGCGAACAGAGGATTAGCTTTGACAGCCGGCAGTGAGATGTGAGCGGCTGTTCAGACGGTTTCTGAGGTTGCATTTTATTTAACGTTAAGGGGTGACATAAAGGTGGGGGCTAGTAGTGGATGTTGCTAGCTAGCGAACCTAACGATAACTTGGTTGGAAGCTAGCTAGCGAGTTAGCTGCCTTTACTGTCTCCCTGGCACAACGAGTAAGCTTTGCTTTAGCTAAAGTTTAGCCTTGGGTGTTACAGATGTCTGACTCCACCGAAATGGCCCTGCCACCTGAGTGGGACGACGACGATCGGATGAATTTTCTGTTCTCTGACTTCAAGGAGAACCGGGATGTCAACACGACGGACTGGGACAGTAAGATGGACTTCTGGACGGCTCTGATCATAAAGAGTTGCCGGGACCGCGGCACCGTATGTGTCAACCTCCAGGACCTGAACCAGACCTTCAGGAGGAAGGAAAAGTCACCGCTGGGCTTGGCGACTGTTCTCCAGTCCATGGCCAGGTAACTGCTCCTGTGTCAGCTCTGTCACTGCTGACTGTTCCTATGTGTCTGGGTCAGCCTGCTTACTGCATGTACTTTAACTTGTGCCAGATGTGGGAAGATACAGAGGGAGTCGGAGTTTGCTGCCAATGTGGACTGCGGCTGGCTGTCCTGGGGTGTTGGCCTGCTGCTGGTGAGGCCTCTGAAATGGACATTGTCTACTCTTCTGGGAAGCAACCGGGTCCCTTTGGAGGAGTCTTTTGTTGTCATTGAACTAGTAAAGGTTTGTCAAACTTAGTGATTCACCACAAGACAACATTATCATAATAGCAGAGCCGCCATGATTTTCATTTTAATGATACCTCCCAGTTATAGCAGTATGGCACTATACATTATGTTTATTTGAATTTTCTTTACATTAATGTTCCACTGTCTGATGTCTTTTACAACATAGAGATGCAGATCATTTAACTAAACTAAATTTACTGAGCATCTGAAGCATGACTGACACATTATGTGCACTACTGTACTACCACAGCTATTTCAAACTGGTTCAACTTGTAGCCCTGCCAAATGGATTCTGTTGACCTGTTTCTGGTATTTTAATTAGACCATTAGGATCATAACAGCAGCTGCTATAATCAAAGCTGCTCTTTGTTTTTCAGGAGAAAGCAGCCGAACTACTCAGGGTCTATCGAAGCAGTGAATTTGCAAACCGCTCCGTCGTGTCACTTCAAGAACTCTGCTCCCTCTCCTCTGATGTCTGTGCTGATGAGAGCACCCTGTGCATGGCTCTGCTGCAGCTGCAGAGGGACAAGCAAGTGACGGTTTCGTTGCATGAAGGCGAGAAGGTAAATCGTAGCCGACTACCATTCAATAAGCTCTTTGTTAAAAGTCTTAAAATGGGTTTTATGTAAGTAATTGGCCTTTCTTCATGTGTTTTCTTTACAGATTGTTAAGTTTTGTCAGCTTGGGCAGGACCGTGTCTCTTCAGTCAGTGATGTGGATATAGGCATCTACCATCTGCAGCGCAGTGAGAAGCTGCTGGGAGAACGGGTGGAGAAACTGGGCCAGGAGGCTGACAAGTACATCAGCTCAAATAAGAACTTAAAGTGGAATGTCTAGTATTAATCATAGGAATTTGTGATTAAGGCAGCCCGTCTGAAAAAATACTTGGTGGTGTTAAAGGTTGAATCAAGTATGGATCCATCTTTTTCTTATTTTAGAGAATGACATTTAGGTTGTGATTTAGTCAAAGATGAAATCTTCCAGGTTTGAACTAACCGGCAGTAGACCTGCACTGCTGTTTTTGCTGAAGTTGCTAAAGGTTATCTTTGTGCAGGTGCAAAGAAGAAGCAAGAGTTCTGCTGCGGGAAGGGAAAAAATCGCAGGTTGCTATTAATGTTTAACTGTTTAAAAAATTCTTTGTAACCAAATATCCCATAGCACTGGATTCAGTGATAATATTCACCACTTACTCCACAGGCGCTGAGGTGTTTGAGAGGCCGCAAGAGGGTAGAAAGGAGAGCAGACAACCTGTTTGCCAAACTGGAGTCCATCAGAGGAATTCTGGACAGAATAGCCCAGTCACAGACTGATAAGATGGTAAGATAGAAAATGAATGAAAAAAAAACCCCATACTCAACCCTGTTTAAATAAGTGGGTGCTGGATTGTCAAAAAAATCTGTAAAGTAAACAAAAAGTGGGACAGCACTCCAATCAATTGAATATTGATTCTGATATTGCATGGATGTTTCAGGCAGACGTCCTTCTCACCTCAAGATACAGAATGAACATTTCTCTCAACACATTTTTATTTTCTTCTGCTGCTTGAAACCGAGTTTGTTGTGTTTGCTGAACACATCTGTAGGTTATGCAAGCATATCAGGCCGGAGTATCTGCCCTGCGACTCTCTCTTAAGGATGTGACTGTGGAACGTGCTGAGAGCCTGGTAGATCAAATCCAAGAGGTAGTGCTTTATTTTAAGACAATGAAGTGTGTCTTATTTAACTGAGTCTCACAGTCTTAATGTATCTCCTGTGATTTAACCAGTTATGCGACACACAAGATGAAGTGAACCAAATTATATCCAGTGGCGTGACGAGTCCAGGTATGGTGTTCTGTTAGCACCATCTCTTTAATAGTGTGTGTTGTATACAGTCATGGCCAAAAATACTGGCGCCACTGCATTTCTGTCAGGTGAGACACCACTTCTCCCAGACATTTGTTGCAATCACAAATTCTTTGGTATTTTCACGTTTGTTTCTTTTGTTTGCATTGTAACAAAACAAAAAAGCAGAAAACCTGATCCATTCCACACAGAACTCCAAAAATGGACTGGACAGAATCATTGACACCCTCAACTTAATATATGGTAGCACACCCTCTGGACAAAATAAGTGAAATCAGTGTCTTCCTGTAACCATCACAGAGTTTCTTCCACCTGTCTACTGGAATTTTGGACCACTCTTCTTTTGCCAACTGCTCCAGGTCTCTCAATGTGAAGGGTTCTTTTTCCCAGCTGCTGTTTTGAGATCTCTCCACAGGTGCTATATGGGATTTAGATCTGGACTCATTGTTGGCTACTTCAGAACTCTCCAGCACATTGTCTGAAACCATTTCTGGGGTTTTTTAAAGTCTGCTTTGGGTCATTGTTCTGCTTCTGATGGAGACCCAGCTTTCTGACACTGGGCCCTACATTGCTCCCCAGAGTTCCTTGGTAATCATCATTTCATGATGCCATACACACAGTCAAGACATCCAGAGCCTGAAGCAGCAAAGTAATCCCAAAACATCAGTGAACCTCCACCATGTTTGACTGTAGGGACCTTGTTCTTTTCTTTGAAGACTTCATTTTGTTTTCCAAAAACAGTAGAATGATGTGCTCGACCAAAAAGCTCTGTTTTAGTCTCATCTGTCCACAGGACATTCTCCCATAAGGACTGTGGCTTCCTCAGGTAAATTTTGACAAACTCCAATCTAGCTTTTTTGTCTTTGTGTGGGGGCCCCCTGGGTCTCCTACCATAGCATCCCTTGTCATTCAGATGGCGACTAATAGTGCGAACTGACACTGTTGCACCCTGTGCCTGCAGGTCAGCTTGAATCTGGAAGTTGATCGAGGTTTGTTATTCTCCATTCCAACAATCCTTTGTTGCAATCCGTCCTCTTATTTTCTTCTTTCATCCACATCCTGGGAAATTAGCTACAGAGCCATAGCCTGTAACCTCTAGACAAGGTTGTGCACAGTGGACACAGGAACAGCCAGATCTCTGGAGCTGGACTTGTAGCCTTGAGACTGTCCAGGCTTTTCCATTAGTGTGGTTCTCAGTGTGGTCCACACAACACAAAGGTTGAGTCAACTTTTCTCCATTTTAACTGACTGCCAGTGTGATTTCTCTATTGTACGGGTGAGTTTCATTACAAGTTAAAGGAGCATCACATGCTTGAAATACAACTATTTCTGATGATTTTGAAAAGGTGTCAATAATTCTGTCCAGTCTATTTTTGGAGTTCTGTGTGGAACGGATCAGATTTGGCTTTTTTCCCCTCTGCTTCTTTGTTTTGTTCCAAGGCAAACAAAAGAAATAAACATGAGAATACCAAAGAATTTGTGATTGCAACAATTGTCTGGGAGAAGTGGTGTGTTATCTGACAGAAATGCAGCGGTGCCAACATTTTTGGCCATGACTGTATATGAATATTGAGAAAGCTAAGTTTGTCATGTTTTTTTTTTTGTAGATGAAGACATGGATGCCCTGGAGGAAGAATTGAAATCGTTGTTGGACGTGTCAGAGCCGGATTCCATCTCAGGCTTACCTGAAGTTCCAACAACCGGCCTGCGACCCTCCGTGGAGCCAAGCCTCAGTGACAGCGACCTGCTCAGCTCTCTGCCTGCTGTACCTCACAGCCACGTGCACATCACCGCTAAGCGGCTGGAAGAAGAGCTGAATAAGTTAACGCTTACAGATTCAGGTTTGGACTTTCAGGCTTCTCTGTTTTCTTCTCTATTGGGCTGTAATGTAAACACACCAAAGTAACACATGATCACCTCTCTGTCCAGGCTTTCAGCACAAGGAGATGACATAGCCAGTCAGGCGAATAGAGCCTGCACAGTGATGGCATGGGCCCAGCATTTCAGGTTTGAATTAACATATCAACACAAACTGTATCTTTCTATGAGCCCAAGTTCATGGAAGTAAGAAAAAAACCTAAGTAATAAATTAGGATTAATCATAAGCTGAAGTGTTGCAAAACATCAGGATGAAAACAAGGTACTTTCTTTTATTTATTAAAAATAAGAAAGGTGTGTCAACATTCTTTTAAACTTGAAAGCTTACAGATTTGCTCTATCACCAGTATCTGAGGACTCTTCAGTCAAGTCTGACCATTGTGACTGTCTGGATTATTTTTGCCAAGAATAAGAGAACAGGTGTATTTGTGGGTTTTCATGTGTTTGCTGATGTTTGTAAATGTCCCTCATTGGTAGTCCTGTGAAGTGACTTAAGTGGCCTTCTGAACTGTAAATATAAAACTTAAAGCCAACAGAATATTATGCCAAATGATTTATCACAACTGTAAGTATATTTAGTCTCAGTGCAGCATACCCTGAGGAGCCCACCTTAAGTGAATTTAACCAAATTTGTTTCTTAAAATAAACTTTATTTTAACCACTTGTCTGTAGTGGTACCTATGTAAATCAGCATGTAGTCAGTGTTAAAAGCAGAGATGGAGATCCTCTGCTTGATAATTGACTCTGTTTTCAGTTAAACAAAGGTAACCAGAGGTGGCTTTGCTCATAGTTTAAAGCACTGCCTCTTCACAGAAGACTAGAAAACTGACTTTAAACAATCTTATTCTAAGTAATATTTGAAAAAGGTTTCAGGATACATTGAAAAATATGTTGTATGGTTGAAAGACGGAGACCATTATGATATAGGCTGCTGAAGATTATTGAATACTGTAACTGAAATGTGCTTTGAAATAATGAAGATAAGTTCAGTACTGATGCCTGCCAGGTCCACAACAAGGACAATACTGTATCAGTCTTTATTTCAAGAATAGCAGAGTGCTAGTGTCAATGGCCTTTTCCATTTGGTACTGTATCAGTGCTAGTGTCAATGGCCTTTTCCATTAAACCTGTTGTGTTGTTAAAACTTTAACATGTTTATGAAGACTGTTTTTGAAGGATCTGTACACTTGCATAAGCTGATTCTCTATCCTGGTTCTGGTTGGCCTTTCGTGGGACAGACTTTATTTTTCAGTTTGTTTAGTAAGTGAAAAATTTCCAAGCAGTTTATTCATCTGTGGGCAACTGATCAGGATTTACTTTGCTTTTAGTTCAGGAAGAGAAACTTGATAGCTTTACTAATGTGTCATTCTGAAGCAATGCAAAGTTTGGTAAAGATAACTGGCATAAAATTCCATTACTCAGCTATTACTGTGATGGAAGTGGGCCATCTAGTGGCCAACTGGTTGAACTACATCAACATTTATGTAAACATTGACAACAGACTCTTCAGTGTGACATTGTCGTTACTGCTGTTAGACTCTGTGATGCTATTAATATGATACTGAATGGTTGATGGTGCAGACAAGCGCATAACGATCACCCTTACTTTGCTTGATCGTCAGTTCTCAGGTGCACTTTAGCAAAGGCACCTCACCTACAACTCATTCAGTGTACCATCACAGCAGTCGGCATGATGTGGCATTCACATATAATATGGTTGCTATTCTTATCACACTCTGGTATCATTAACTAAATACAGTGTTTGTTACAGGGCATGAAGGGACACTGGTGAGTATAAAAAGTGTGTCAATCACATGTTATGTCCTTTACAATCATAGATCATTCAACAGACGTGTTAAACAGCCATCATCATTTTTTGGAGGAATGGTGCCCAGTAGACTCAAAGCAGCACCTTACTGATGTTGTCTTTTCCTTCAATTTGTCCCCTGACTGTATGTATAGAAACCAAGTAACCAAACCAGAAAAGCACTGCTTTATTGATGTGACATATACTTTTAAGAACAAGTGATGTTAATGTGAAAAGCAGGTTATTATTAAGTGATCAGAATTACCATCATGTTGGTGGTGCACTAACTACTGTCGATATCTGGGGTGCTTTTGTGTTCTCTATTAAACAAATAAAAAAAAATTCATTACAAATGTACAGGCTTTATAAAGTACAGTTAATAATATCAAAGTCCTACAGCAGTGTTTTCAAAAAATGCCCTTGTGTCACAGATAACATCAGTGGATATTGTTTAAGCAGACGCTCAAGGCCTTCACTGTGAAACACGCAGTCATTCTCTCGTACAAACAAATATATGCCCTATTCAACATCAGTTCATACTGCATTCAAACATGTACTCCTCAGCTGTTTTGGCAGTCAACATGAGAAAGGTGAAATTACGGTTCTTTCATCTCGAGAACCAGCTAAATTTCAGTTGCACATGATGCAGCTCGTACCTACAATAACATTACCATACTGATATCATAAGAAGAGGAAAGACATCCGGGAAGTATTAATTATTTTAATCATTTTAATTCTATCCTGTGAAGCTGCAGATATGTTATATCAGACTGCTGTTGATAAGACGGAGCAGACAGAAAGGTAACTATTAGTCGTGAC